TATGAGATTAAACAAAATGATAGATACCTTTATATTTTTTATTCCACTTTCCTCTTCTCTTCCAAGATCATTTTTTAACAAACACTTTGCATTCTTTTTCGATTTTTCGACAACTTGTTCTTTATTATTTCAAAAAAGAAGACGAAGCCTCCCCCCTAGTTCTTCATAAGCCAGGGATGGGGTCAATTACATGTACATACAAAAGTAATTAATTAAATTAAAATTACTTGCCCAAAACCTTCAATTAAATTACCATTACCATTACAAGGATTTTGAAATGTAATTAATTAAATTACAATTACTTTGCAAATGTAATATATTAAATCACAAATTACATTTAGAAACATAACAAAAAAGTCATGAACGTTCCTTTATATTCATATCAGATTCAGTTACTTTTTTCTCTTTTTTACATTAACATTGTTTAATTGTTAATGAAAATCTTAAATATTGTGTCCCCTAAACTATATCTATCGGTTTTAAAGATTTACTGCCACAATGAAGATATTTTCCACTGGGGCCAGCTTTAAATTAATGTTTGTTTGCCCTCTCCCGACTCAGGATGAAAAAATTACATGTAACTGAAAATTTGGTCAATTACACATTACTTACAATTACATCAAAATTAGTAATTTATTACTGTCAATTATCATTACACATTACCATTACCCCATCCCTGTCATAAGCAATATATTTTTGAATTAATACATTTTCAGACTAAGCTTAGTCTTAATTTAAATATTTTGAGAAACGAACAGAGTTGTAAAATTAGGATTTTATTTTCGATGAAGGCTTCAATTTCTTGGAAATATCCTTAAATCCATATCTTCTATTGATACTATATTCAGCAAAATTGATATAGAAGAGACTTACTATTGGAAGACATTTGTCGAAGAGGTAATGCCAGCTGAATCTTAAAGGTGTTTTGTGTCATTCATTCATAAGTTTTATTATACAATAACCATTTAAGAGCTATAGCACTAACTTAGTGTCAAGTAAATAAACAGAATTTCGACAATTAATTCAATCATTTTTTTTTTATTCAGATAATCAAATGAGCCTTGATATAAAGTAGAACCTTGTAATCTAGATGCTGTTTTAATCACAGCTCCTTCCATGAAACCTATCATTGCAAATGTCACAGGTTCCTATTGATTGATCACGTATTATGTGTTGACAAAGGTCACCGTAGAAAGATTCACGACAATGATGACACATACAAGTTATTGGACTACTCGACTAAAACTCATTCCTACATTTAGCGAAGTATACTCTCAAACATCTTTTGTTCGGAAAGCATGAAAATTATTTTTCCCATGCCTTCACAGCACTGTAAAAGGGTTTGTTACGACGCAAAATTCAATAACAATGCAAAATGTAATAAACCGAAAATATTGCATTTTTTGTTATTACATTTTGCGTCGATATCAACGCAGAATGTAATAATGTAAAAACAGACTTTTAAGGATTATTACATTTTGCGTCGAGGTTATGCAAAAACGCAAAATGTAATAACACACTTTTTGGTCATTCAAGTTGAGAATAATTTTCATTTGAGTTGTGGATGAAGAAAATAAACGGAAAGAAAATAAAACAAAAGGAAAAATAAACATATGATGATTCATACATTAATTCTGATTCCATCGTATATTGATTTCATTAGCCATTTAAAATCAATTGAAATTCAAATCATAGGTGTTGCAAATTAGAAACGAGCGTGCGCAGGTGTGTGTGTTGGGGGGGGGGGGGGGTATTTCGTTGATCAGTGTATCAGTTTGCTTTTGCTTTTTGATAGGCACATGCATGAAATTTAGCAAAGAAATCTATTTGTTTTTACTGGCAGGTGTAAATATAGCGGGAAAGGGGTTTCTTGACAATTAAGATTTCATACTGTTTTACAAATCATGCATTGCAGACCAACAAAAATTAAATTCTCTCTCTTTCTCTCTCTCTCTCTCTCTCTCTCTAATAATAAAATGGAAAGTTTCTGCATGCGCATAAAAATATAATGATTAACATACGAAGTAACCCCTACCCCCTGCTTCCTCTCGCCAGACACACACACATGCACTTCTAACTTGCTAACCAATCTACACATGCAAGTCGTGCATGCATATCAAGAGCTTTTAATGGACCCATTGTCAATCTTTGGTAATTAAGAATGTCAGTGATGGATATATAATACATACTGATTTATAAATAAACATGTCAATCAAAGTTAAGTTAATGTTTTATAAGTATTCAATAAAAATGTTAGAAACAGGGTTTAAAAAATATACAATTAGATTTAGTAATGTCCGTAAAAGCCGTAACGTTTGTATCATAGTCAAAGGTGTGTATGTCTATTTAATTAAGCGAGTTTCCCCATTGTTATATGTTTAAATCAATTTTGTGATGTTTCGGGTTGAACACAGAATACAAAAAATAATTATATTTTGTTTTATTACATTTTTTTTATTACATTTTGCGTTGTCCTCAACACAAAAATTAAGTAACGCAAATAGTAACAACCAAAATGTTCATTATTACATTTTGCGTCGAGATCAACGCAAAATGTAATGATCCAAAAATAATGTTTTTACATTTTGCGTTATTACATTCTGCGTTGATCTCGACGCAAAATGTAATAACGCAAAATTTAATTATCCCAGTTTATTACATTTTACTTTCTTATTACATTTCGCGTCGTAACAGATCACTTCGCTGAAAATTTCGAAATTTTATGAAAGGTAACTCAGTTACTGAGACAAGGATGTACGAGGGTTGTCCAAAAAGTTCGTGGACAATGGCGTTTTTATCAAAATGAATAGTTCAAGATATACTTATTGTATACCAAAATATTAGTTATGAAAATCAAAGTCAGAATAGTTTGGCTTTTATTGTTTAAATTCAAATATTTTTGTAAAAATAGCGGTCATTAGAGGTCGCCGATAGTGCGCACGGACCAGGGTTAAAATGCCATAAACTTTTAAATAAAGTTTTCTAATTAAAATGATTATTTTCTTTATAAAACGATTCAAAGCTTTATAAAAATTAAATGTGTCGGAAATAAAGCGGTTGTCGTTATTTTCTGATATCTTTAGTATCGCTTACTAAATAGACAGTGAGAATATTAAGCGAAAACCGCAAAAAGTATGTTTCAAAAATTGACAGAAAAAGCTACGTCGGCCATCCGAACGGAACAGCGTCCAATCATACAATCATGCTTTAATATGGTTGAAACGACGTCAGACACAAAATATTTATTCAAACAACTTAAAATTATTGGAATATATTTAGTTCATTGATTTGTAATTGGTGTATAAGATTTTTCAACGGTGTGTAAAATTTCGGAGACATTACAAGAAGTGGAAAACCACTGTTATTTGATGAAAATAGGGTATCCCTATTCATGACGTTGTCGTCGGACTGGGCTGTGTATACGAAGTGTTTATATTGATGACGCTCGTAAATTATCGCGTCTTGTTTTGAATTTTAAAAATGAAATCAATTTTGGGCTATACATAAATATTATTTCATACACTTGGCAGTGTGGCATAATAAAGAAAATTAGCGTGTGTCCATGAACATGTGATAAAAATTCAATATCCATATATTTGACGTTATCATGAAATAAGCGTTACGTCAGACTGGGCCGTGCGGCTTGCGTATACAAAGTATTTATACCTATATAACATTCGTAAAATAGTGTTCATTGTTTTAATTTTTCATATATTTACTAAATCATGGTCTATATTAAGATATTATCGAACACATTTGCCATTGCGGACTTTATTAAGAAAATTAAGCATTTGTCCACGAACTTTTTGGACAATCCTCGTACATAAAACTTTATGACAACCGTCAAAATACTGAGACATTGCAATCAGAGTACAACATACATGTACTTTTTCTAATATTCCTACATCAAAACGAATCTAGAGATTCTGTGGCTTCTAGTTGACCAGGCAGAAGAGGAAAAAAAACTTCGTGCTGATTTTTTTTAGGTACTTACGTTTTGTGTACGAATCGGTTTATGTACGACTTGATAAGACACCCGGAAAAATATACTCCATTTTGAAGACTTTAATATTATGTGGCACAAATAATTTCCTTATTTTTATTCTATCGGAAATAACTGTCTTCTATTTTTGGCATTTCTTTATTTGTAGGTAAGGGTAAGACGTTTTCTGTTTAATCTTGCTTGTTGATAAGAAACAAGAGTATAATAATTGGCATGTAACCGGGTTACCTTTAATGGCGTTATATTTGACATAAACAAGGCCAATTAAGTACTTTCGTTTTCAGACAAAATCATGATTCATAGAGTAAGTGAAATATTGCAATCACAATGGTAACGTATTTAACTTACTTGTGAAAAAAAATTGAGGCAACATCGCATTTTTAGAGTGCCTGGGCGAGGTATCTTTCAAGCTATCATTTTGATCACGCATTATCCTGAAGTCGACCAGTATGTTGCAATCGTCATCATGACATTGTCTTGTATTTGACAGCTGTTCGACATATGGATTCACTTTTTAATTCCTGTTCGAATGGTCACTAATATGAATTTACTTAAGAGTTGCAAAATTATATGAAAAGTGTTGGATCCAGTTTTTGGTATATTGAACATGTTGAAATCAAGAATAAAAATACCAATCATATTATTATCATCATCATTTATTTGGTATTATGTCATTGTACATAAAAAATACACATAAATATACATAATCATTTAAAAGACAATATTTGGGAATCAATAAATTTTAAATACATTTATGAATAAATATTCAGGAAACCATATTTTTAGAAAGTGACTAGTTGAAACCAGGATAACCCATTAAAGCTCGAGAGCTTATTTCCAATGGGGTCCTAACCTAAATAAGATAAAAATACAAATGTTTCATCATTAAAGCAGTATAACGATTTTTTGGCACTATAGTTTTAGCACTGTATTGCTTACACGTTAAAACTTTTGTTTTCACTCTTATCTTACATTTTACAATCAAAAACTACAACAGAAAAACAGCAATGAAACCCAGATTATAAGCTATGATGAATGGAACCCATACCCCAACAAGGAATGGTGTGTCGTATGAAATGATATCATCAATGCCGTCGCGTAGCACACACGAAGGTAGCCTGAGTCAAGGCCTAGGTCAGATGTCCATGACTGATGTCAGTCTGGAGCAGGCCCTGGAGAGAATTCAGGAACTTCACAGAGAAAATAATGAACTCAGAGGTACACATTTCTTGTTACAGTAGGAGTTTGCCATATTTTAATTAATTGCATGTAAAACAGTCAGGGGTGAGACTGAAATCCGTCATTTCTGAAAAATGATGGATAATCGTCATATTTACTAACTACGTATTTTCGTCATTTTTGTCAATATGACTTACTATCGTCATATTTTCTTTTTCAACTTAATTCTTCTATCCTGGTTACATAAAAGCGAAATTTGAATTCACCGCTGAAAGAAGAGTGTTTACGCAAGTTTCATTTCATCCGGGTCACTAATTACTGCTGACCACGTGCGTTAGAACATCAACATGGAAGGTGAAAGTTATTATTTAGCGGTAAAATGTCGAATTTTGGTAGAACTAATTCGCCATTTTTACATGGCTTTTAAACCTATAAAAACATATAGTACACCGTCTGGAAGAATACGTACTTGTAGAGAAAAGTCTCGACAAAAAGTTAAAGCCATAAAAAAGTAGTGCGCCCCGTAAAACAAGCGAGATATTTCAGTGCGCCCAGACCCTCCATTTTGAAAAAAGACGGCATATCGTCATTTTCGTCTTCTTTCCTATTTAATGCAAATAAATTGACAAATAACTCTTCCACTCTTATTTTTGCTTGGGAAATTTGTACTGTCGACATAACCAGTATTGTAGTCAACTGTGTTAGAGAAATGAAGTTTGTTTACGATGTTTTTTGTCCTTTTTTCGGTTGGTGGATCTAACATTTTTCAAAGAGAGGTAACTCGGTATTCTAGAAACACTCTAAATTTTTATGACTGTTTTTCGTCATTTTCTTAAAAATGACGAGTTTAAGTCATAATAAAAATTTTATTTTATGACTAAAAATCGTCATTTTAAAAATGACGGATTTCAGTATCACCCCTGACTGTAAAACAAAACTTATTTTATTATATTAATTACTTAAAATATTCATTAAATATATTCAAATACTTCAAGCTTTACTGTAGTGGCCAATGAAAAAATACCTGAAAACAGAGGAATATAAAATAGTTAATATACTCATCTATTCTTTAATTAGACAAAGAAGTATACATTTATTACATGTGCATATATATATATATATATATATATATATGTATGTTAGAAGTTGTAGCATAAAGACATGTCATAAATATTAAATAATGTCCATTCTCAATCATTCATGCATTGAACATCCGAAAATTAAGAGAGTCAGTTCTGTGTTACTCTGATTTCGTGCTTGTAATATTTCATTAGATTACCTGAGGGACAATAACGAAAAGATGAAGATTCAATACCAGAATCTGGCAGAATGGAAGGAGAAGATCCGCAGTAACAACATGAAAAATAAAGAAAAGTTTGACCAGACTAAGGAGGTAGTCCAGACTCTGACTAAAGAGAACGAGGATCTTAAAAGGGAAGTCTCAAAAAAGGTAGAGAAGTATATATTATAGATAAAGGTAACAGGAACACAATTTTGTGAACATTGACCTAACCATCAAAAATATCTGTTAATGTACCCAGAATTTATTTGATTGCTTTGGAATACGAATGATGAAATTTATGAAACCGTAGTTTTAAGTTTTCCATGCAAATTATTGTTATAATTGTTAATTATTCTTTGCAGTATCACTAGATTAAAATCTGTGTACATCAAGGCTTTTCAGCTCAATTATTAAACAAAGTTCTTTAATCATCAACATCAATCCATTTACTGATAGGCTGCCCAGATGACACATCTAGAGAGGTCAGCTCAGGAGGTCAGGAGTGAGCTCAGAAACAAGGAGGAAGCTGTTACAGGACTTGTGAGGACTGTCGAGGAGCTGAAGAAAGCTTTAGAGAGTAAATCACTAGACAGGTCCTCAGACTGTGTTGATACGGTAAATACATTGTCCTCAGACTGTGTTGATACAGTAAATACATTGTCCTCAGATTGTGTTGATATAATGAATAATTTTTCCTCAGACTGTATTAATCATGTTAATATGGTTAAAATATTGTAATCAGATTGTGTTGATTTGGTAAATACATAGTCCCCAGACTGTGTTGTTATGGTAAATATCCTCAGACTGCGTTGATATGGTAAACACATTGTCCTCAGGCTGTGTTGATATGGTAAATATATCGTTCTGGAACTGTGTCTATAGGGTTTAAATACATGTAATTATTGTCATCAGGCTGCATGCATTGTTGATACATTAGACCTCACATAGTTCTCTGACTTTGTTGATATGGTAAATTGATTGACCTCAGACTGTTTTGATATTTCATTGACACTGAAAAGGTGTAGCAAGTTTTAATGCCTCTGTCCCCAGCGCATTTAAAATTGCATTTAAATCAATATCCTCAGAACAAATTGATAAAATGAATGTCAAATGAATGTTCTTCACCTAACCTTGATTCTGCAACAGTTTTACTCATGCCTGGGGAGAAAGTATTGCATAATTGTAATTAAACTGTATTAAAGTTGCTGTGGAATACTTTAAATTAGTACAAAGATTTTCTTCTCCATTGTCAATTAGACTTTGATATATGTTTCCATTTGTTCTGTGTTGGATAGTAGAGCTGTTTGGAAATTTATTTATACATTAAAAAAATACACAAATTATGGAGTGATGCCTTTACTATCAATTGAAAGTAAAAATGAATGTCAATTTAATCAAATATTGAAATCTTCGTTAAAAATCTCTTTATATTTCATATAGGTAATTGTGAATCAAGACAGAACTGAAATAGAAGCCTTAGAAAAGGAAAATGAAAGTTTAAAATCTAAAATAACACAGCTGGAAAATCAGCTGGGACAATTCAGAGAAAATAATGAAAGCTTAATGCGGGACCTAAACTCTTACAAAAATGTGAAACAAGAGCTTCAGGAAGAAAATGCAAAACTGGAGAGAGAGAATACAGAGCTTGGACAAAGAATTGAAGGCTTGTTGAATGAGAACAAGGGTGTGAAGACGGAGGCAAGGTCATTGAGGAGCCGTGTTGAGGACCTAGAGAAGGAGGTGTCACGTTTCCAGGACGTAGCAGTCGGTAAAGAGGAGGACAGGAAAACACAAGGGGCAGAAATGGTTCAGACAGAGGTATACCTTCAAATTGAATTCTTATTGAATGTCATTTTTGTGTGTATGTCTTAAGCAATATAAAATCAATGAAATGCATCTAAATGCATTTATATGAAGGGAGATACATTGATTCAAGTATGAAATTTCTTGATTTTTTATGCTGTTGTTATGTGTATAGAGAGTGATATTCTAAGGTTATTACATACTGTAAACCAATTCCTATTTGCAACAACCTTTATTCACAATTCCTCAGGTTGAAATTCATCTGGGACTTTTACTTTTCAACCTACATGTATAAAATATTCTACACAAACACGTTGAATGCATTATTATCCTCTCGCAATGAAGTTGGAGAGGATATAGTAACACACTAGTGTGTGGGTGAGTGAATGTGTGTAACAGAAGTTACACATCAAGTAATAATTCATACATGTACATGTATTCGGATTGATGTGCTCTTTTCAGAATGGATGCTTTCCCTTGTGGTGCCCTTGAAATTGAAATTGATTCGGGCAAGAAATATTCACAAGATGGTTGCAAATCTCATGGAAATTTCTAGCATGAAATGAAGGTTTTTAAGTTCTGTGAAATCACTAATTTTCATAAAATGTTCATTGTTTTCAAGGAATAAGGAGACCCACAAAGAACAAGATAGGCTAAGACCCCTTTTCGGTCCCTGATTTGTGGTGTCTCCAGCAGCGATGCAATAGTTCATAATTATAAACCTGTTGTCATCCCTTTTACAAAATGAGTATTGATTTGTAGTTATGGGGTACACAAAGGTCATAGGAATGTCACAAAATATGTCAATTTCCGAATTTCCTCATTTTTATGCAAATTTTGACCAATTTTATAGCACATTTTCTTTCAGAAAGCACAGAGCACAAGCTTGCCTATCTACCAAATTTATACATTTCATACACTAGTATCAGATGCATCTTAATTATGTATAAAAATCTCAGATAGGCAAGCTTGTGCTCTATGTGTCCCGAAGTGAAAAGTATCTCAAATTTGATGAAAGATGATATTCCTTCAAAATTGAGGATATTCGGTAAAGTGTCCAACTTTGGTACCCTCTTGTGGCCTCCCTGTTCAGTTTTCATTTTTTATATCAAATAAGGGGCAAAATTCGGCCGTTAACTTAATACCTTGTCCTTTGTGACCTCCTTGAAATGCCACCAAGATCACGCATATCTTCATTAAGATCATTAAATGTGTAAAAATTCTTTTTTCTGTTAAGAATATGATAAAATACTAGTATTTACATTCTCTTGTTCTGGTATGCCATAAGGTTGCATATTATGTATTCCTACCATGCTTACAGCTAGGTGAACTAAGACAGAGACTGAAACAGAAAGAAGAAGAGATTGCCTGGTACAAGGAGCAACAACAGCAACACATATCAAGTCTCACAAAGCAACATCAGCAACAGAAGCAGGAGTTGCTGCAGCAACTGGATGTGCTGCAACATGAGCTTCAGCAGACCAAAGATGAACAGGTTGTTATTATCTACAAGAAATAATACGCTCTTCAGCTTTTATTTTAAGAAAATGAAGTGGTGGTATTCGTTTTTGTGACAGAGTGTGAAAAAAAGCACTCATCCACTCCTCCTTGACAAATGAAAATCAGGATGAGTGGAATGAATATCATATAGTGTTTTTTTTTTATCAGACAGTCTAAAAAGATTAAGAAATCTGAAATAAGCCATGATCTTTTTTATTTTTATTATTGGCTAAAAGTGGGTTTTATATGAGTCGAGCAGAATCATCATGGGGACAAGAGGTTATGGTGTTATGCTTGTCATGGGATGAGTGGTCACTGATATGTTTCTGTGTACATATGAGCAAAATAATTATACCTGTATTCTTGTGCATTTAAAGTATGTGAAAGTAAAACCCTAAGACAATTTCTGTAAAAAAAAACTGTCTGATGCTAACAAAATAATGTCTATATAAAAAAAAATAATAATAATCCTCTTATTAATGGAATTTTAAGCCTTGCTTATGTACTGATATACATATGTTATATGAAATGAATTTGATTAAGAATTATAATAATTTTTTGTTTATCAATTCAAGACAAAGGCTTACACGAGTGACGTACAGAGCCTGCGCAGCCAAGTTCTGACCCTCATTACCCAGGTCACCGAGTCCCAGAAAAGACTGGAAGATGCTAACGATGCTCTCGAAAAGAAGAGTAGCAAGTGAGTAGACCTTAAATGACTTCTTAAACAGAAGAGTTGCAATTGTGTTAGACCTTAAATGACTTCTTAAACAAAAGACTAGCAAGAAAGTAGACTTGAATGACTTCTTAAACAGAAGATTTAAGTTGCATGAATAGTCACACATGCTTAAAAATATACATGTATGTCCATTTACAGTTTTTATGCCCAGAATATCATGGCATTGCTTGGATTTCATAGCATAAACCTTGGTCATAACTTCATAATTATTTTAAAGATGTGTTGATGTTTGGTCAGTTTGAAGTAAGGTGAAAGTGTTAAGTCAGGTCAAGGTTATATGTCAAGTCATAAACAAGGTCAAGGTTGAATTTGACTTTTATTTAAAAAAAAAAACATTTTGAATTACCATTATTGATCATATCAATAAAAATAAAAGAAATCTTGCAAACATGTAAATGAAGAAAAAATAATTTCTGTCAGGCAGTGAAAAGAATTCAGATATGACTTAAAATGTACTTGTACATTATTGTATACACAAGCAATATTAAAACAAACATTCTATTGTGTATAAGGAAAAAAATCATTTGAAAGTCTGTACAATTTGTTCATACTGAAAAAGAAAAAAAAAAGAGGAAGCAAACTTTTAAGGTCCATTGTACATGTATTAAATGAAGCTTCCACCATTAAAGGAAGAGAAATAAGGAAGTAAGAACACATCCAGATGTAGACTTCATATATTATATATTACATAAGCTGCTTATGATAAAGAAGAGGTTTTCTACAAAAATCTTATCCACACACTTGTCAAGTGATCAATTTTTTGACAATACCAAATTTTCATGGCATGGTCAGCTAACTAATCTATTCGCTTGACAAAAATATTTTTTTCTGCATCACAAACAAGCATATTTACTTGTATGTACAATACTTGAATGTTTTTATTATATAGTTGATCTGCAAGATATTGTTATATAGCAGTACATGTACTCAGCTATGAATATCAAATGGACTTTATTTATCTGTAAAACTTCCGTATTTTTATTTTTGTAACAGATTACAGGAAGTAGAACACATGCAAGAGGAGTTCCGACGACAACACACGGAGGATGCCGCCCTCGTAGAAACACTGAGGTTGTCACTAAAAAGTTACGAGGACGCACTGACTGCCGAGAGAAAGGAACATCAAAATACCAAGTAGGATATCTAAAAAAAAGTGTAATATAACTCCCAGTATGATATCAAGGATAAAAATACTCAGTATGAAGTCAGTGTTAAAAAATACAATGTTTGAAATCAGTGTAATGAATAAATACCCAGTATAATGAAAGCTGAAAAAAAAAATAGCAAATATGATATCAGTGCCAAAAAAATTTAAAAGTATGATATCAGTGTAAGCAAAATACAGTAAAACACAGTTATAGCAAACATGCTTATAATGAATTCATGCTTACAGTGAAGTGATTTCAATCCCTATGGTTTTAAAACGTATTGAAATCTTAACAGCTTAAACAAATTACTTTTATATTCAATCAAACTTGCTCGTACCTGGCACTTTGCTCTAAGCGTGTTTTACTGTACCAAGTATGATATCAGATATCAGACTGAGTGTTAAAATAATTACTTGTTTGTGGGAATACTTGTGTTTAATAAATACCTTAACAATGACTCATACCATATTGTGTAATGATACATATCATATTGTGTAATGATTCATATCATATTGTGTAATGACAAATATCATATTGTGTAATGACAAATATCATATTGTGTAATGATACATATCATATTGTGTAATGATGCATATCATATTGTGTAATGATTCATATCATATTGTGTAATGACAAATATCATATTGTGTAATGACAAATATCATATTGTGTAATGATACATATCATATTGTGTAATGATTCATATCATATTGTGTAATGACAAATTTCATATTGTGTAATGATACATATATTATACTGTGTAATGATACATATCATATTGTGTAATTATTCATATCATATTGTTTAATGATACATATCATATTGTGTAATGATACAGTCTTGTATATGTAGTTAGAAAGATACTCTTGTCATTACAGGAAAACGTCAGCTGATCTCAGGCAGTCATTTAACACGTTGGTTTCAGACCACAAGAATTTGTCAGAGAAATATGATAGAATCAAACTTCAAGAACAGACACGTCCACAGGTAATTATAAACAAAACTGATATGCCCATGGGTAATTATTGATAAAACAGACATACCACAGGTAATTATGAATAAGACAGACACACCACAGGTAATTATGAATTAGACAGACACACCACAGGTAATTATGAATTAGACAGACATGCCCAAGGGTAATTATGAATTAGACAGACATGCCCACAGATAATTATGAATTAGACAGACATGCCAAAGGGTAATTATTGATACAAGAGAGAAATACACAGGCAGTTATTTATAAGTATAATGTGTATAAGTAATGTGTATATTTAGGAATAATTATGATTACTGGTAAAAACAGTTTTGGAGGCACTAGTATTGGGAGGGAATGACATTTATTTTCTATCCAGATCTTTGAAGACTGAGGGTATAATGTTACAAAAATGATTTTTAACCTCATTATGTAAGATTTTTATTTTACATATGTGTATACACTACAGTAAAGGGAATGCAAAATTCTTACACATATTTGAAGTATCATGTAGGACATTTCACTAAAAGATTTTAAATTCAAGGCCAAATTCAGAAATTCCAAGTTGTTAAGCTGTAACTTGATTGAAACATTTATATTTCTGTATAATTTTTTTCCTAGGGTGGATGTACAGAGACAGAGAAACAGAAGTTACTGGACCAAATAGGTCGACTAACAGCCCAGGTGTACGCTGGTGAGGAAGCCATTAATTACAGAGAGGAGAAGCTTAACAAAGTACAGGAGGAGAATAAAAAAATCACAGAGGAACTCAACAATGTGGTCCCTGTACTCAAAGCTCAGGTGTGTAACTCAGTAATGTGGTTCCTGTACTCAAGGCTCAGGTGTGTAACTCAGTAATATGGTCCCTGTACTCAAGGCACAGTTAACTCAGTAATATGGTCCCTGTACTGAAGAGTCAGGTGTGTAACTCAGTAATGTGGTCCCTGTACTCAAAGCTCAGGTGTGTAACTCAGTAATGTGGTTCCTGTACTCAAGGCTCAGGTGTGTAACTCAGTAATGTGGTCCCTGTACTTAAGGCTCAGGTGTGTAACTCAGTAACGTGATCCCTGTACTCAAGGCTCAATGTGTGTAACTCAGTAATGTGGTCGCTGTACTTAAAGCTCAAGTGTGTAACTCATTAATATTGTCCCTGCTCTCAAAACTCAGGTGTGAGACTCAGTAATGTAGATCTTGTGCTCAAGGCTCAGGTGTTTGACTCAATAATGTGGCCATGTACTCAAAGCTTAGGTGTGTAACTCAGTAATGTGGTCTTTGTGCTCAAAGCTCAGGTGTGTGACTCAGTAATGTGGCCCTGTTCTCAAAGCTCAGGTGTTTGACTCAATAATGTGGTCCTGTTCTCAAAGCTCAGGTCTTTGACTCAGTAATGTGGTCCTGTTCTCAATGCTCAGGTAAGTGACTCAGTAATGTGGCCCTGTTCTCAAAGCTCAGGTGTGTGACTCAGTAACGTGGTCCCTTCACTCAAAGCTCGTGTATAACTCAGTAATGTGGTCCCTGTACTCAAAGCTAAGGTGTGTAAACTCAGTACTGTGGTCCCTGTACTGAAACCACAGGTGTTTAACTCAGTAATGTGGTCCCTGTTCTCAAAACTCAGGTGTGTCACTCAGTAATGTAGACCTTGTGCTCAAGGGTCAGGTGTTTGATTCAGTAATGTGGTCCATGTACTCAAAGCTTAGGTGTGTAACTCCATAATGTGGTCTTTGTACTCAAAGCTGAGGTGTGTGGCTCAGTAATATGGTCCTGTTCTCAAAGCTCAGGTAAGTGACTCAGTATGTGGTCTGTGTACTTAAAGTTCAGGTGTGTTACTCAACAATGTGGTCTATAACTCAAAGCTCAATATTGAAAGTCTAACATGACATAAAGAAAAGTTTTATCTGCATGTATGTTGCAACCTGTTATTAAAGGTATAGATGTAAAATCAGAGAAAGCAGAGCATTGTTAATAAGAGACATTTTAAATACATTATATTTGAATAAATGTGATGAACTTCTGTTCTAGGCTGAGGTATGGAAGTCAGATTTTGATGCTGAGAGAGATGCTAGGGAACGTCTCCATGCAGAAAAAACTCAACTGGAGAATGACTACAAACAACTCCAGCTACGCAACCAGCAGTTACTGGATGAGATGGAGAACTTCTCTAAGCGACAGTTCCAGGAGATGCAACAGCGACACTCCAACCCAGGCTATCAGCACACTCTTCAACAACACCTTAGGGTGGGACATCAGAATCATGGGAACCCATATCAATTGACTCAGTACCCTCCCCAAAGTTATCCCACCCAGGCCCCAGGGGCAGGGGCAATGTACAATGATGGTAGACCTCCTCCTTCTGTTTCAACAAGTCAGGTAAAAATATAGTGTTAAGAATTATTTTTGAAGTAAAATAAGAATCTGATGCTAAAGATTCTTGAGCTTTTAGATGGTAATTATTTTAAAAAAATAAAAGGAAGATGAGTATTATTTTGAGGGAATGAATTAAAAATAAATTCCATTCTCAGAAAGCAAGTTATTTTTTATGTTGAAAGATAAGTGGTGATATAATATGTGTACATGTATCTACATATGTATGTATGTATTTCCTTATGTACATGAACCTAATGAAACCTTCCTTTTCTGGTTTCTTGATGATATTTTCTGCCATAGAGATCTTTGTTTCTGTGTGCCTAGGTATAGCTTATGATTTACTTTTATCAAGGTCCACAGTGAATCCGGGGAAGGAGAGGAACCCCATCAATTCGAATGTCCAAAATGTAATCAGACCTGTCCAGACATGGACACTCTACAGATACATGTACTGGACTGTATTGACCAGGACAACCCTTGACAGAGCATAGACCAGAACTTCCCCTGACACACAGCAAATCTCATCCTGGGTTGCATTGACCAGAACAACCAATGATATTGTCAAATGTCAAATTAGATCAATCATGAAAGAGTTTCAAATTCAACAATTCTGTAAACTTTTGTACAATATATATTTTGTTTTTAAAGAACGTTTTTTGTCCCATTATGTGATTTTTGATTTTTAGGTCACCTGAGTCACTCAGGTGACCTATTGCTATCCGTTCTCGTCCGTCGGCGTGCGTCGTGCGTCGTGCGGTGTGCGTCGTGTGTTAACATTTTGAACATTTTTAGCTTCTTCTCTGAAAACGCTTAACCAATTTCAACCAAATTTGGCATATAGCATCTATGGGTGAAGGGGAACAAAAATTTTGAATTTCATGGTCCCTGCCCCCCTGGGACCTGAGGGGTGGGGCTAAAACCACTGAAAATAATGCAATCTTTAAAAATCTTCTTCTTTACTCCTGGACATCAAGCAGTCAAACTGTTGGCATCATAGTAATAAGCATTGAGCCCTCTACCAAAATTGTGAAATTCATGGCCCCAGGGTCAGGGGTTCTGGTGCTAGGGTGGGGCTATATAAATCATATAGTGAAAGTGCATTATTTCTTTGAAAATCTTCTTCTCTGCTCCTGGGTATTAAATAAAGTAACTAAGTACATAGTTATGAAGAGCAAGAGTGCCTCATCCAAAATTGTGAATTTCATGGCCCCAGGGTCAGGGGTTCTGGTGTTAGTGTGGGGCCCTATTGATTATGTAGTGAAAATGCATGAATTCTTTGTAAATCTTCTTCTCTGCTCCTGGGTATTAAATAAAGTAACTAAGTACATAGTTATGGTGAGCAAGAGTGCCTCATCCAAAATTGTGAATTTCATGGCCCCAGAGTCAGGGGTTCTGGTGTTAGTGCGGGGCTCTATTGATTATATAGTGAAATTGCATGAATTCTTTGAAAATCTTCTTCTCTGCTCCTGGGTATTAAATAAAGTAACTAAGTACATAGTTATGATGAGCAAGAGTGCCTCTTCCAAAATTGTGAATTTCATGGCCCCAGGGTCAGGGGTTCTGGTGTTAGGGTGGGGCTCTATTGATTTAATATAGGGAAAAGGCATCAATTCTTTGAAAATCTTCTTCTCTGCTCCTGGGTATTAAATAAAGTAACTAAGTACATAGTTATACTAAGTACATAGTTATGATGAGCAAGAGTGCCTCTTCCAAAATTGTGAATTTCATGGCCCCAGGGTCAGGGGTTCTGGTGTTAGGGCGGGGCTCTATTGATTTAATATAGGGAAAAGGCATTAATTCTTTGAAAATCTTCTTCTCTGCTCCTGGGTATTAAATAAAGTAACTTAGTACATAGTTATGGTGAACAAGAGTGCCTCTTCCAAAATTGTGAATTTCATGGCCCCTGGGTCAGGGGTTCTGGTGTTAGGGCGGGGCTCTATTGATTATATATTGAAAATGCATTAATTATTTGAAAATCTTCTTATCTCTCCTTGATATTAAATAAAGTAACTCAGTACATAGTTATGATGAGCAAGAATGCCTCTTCCAAAATTGTGAAATTCATGGCCCCTGGGTCAGGGGTTCTGGGGGGGTGGGGGGTGGAGAGAGAGCTCTATTGATTACATGTATATAGTGAAAATGCATAATTTCTTTCAAAATTTTTTATCGACTACTGGTTATAAACTAAAGAAACAAGTGCATAGTTATGATGAGAAAGGGTGCTTCTTCCAGAATTGTGAGTTCGTGGCCAATGGGTCAGATGTTGTGGTGTAAGGATGGGGCTTTATTTATTTAATAATATGGTGAAAATGCATTTCTTTGAAAATCGTCTATGCTTCTCTTGATGTTCAAGGCAAACAGAGTAAAAGTTTTAATATGCAAGGGTATTTTTACCAGAATTTTGAACACCTGGACCATTTAGTCAACTTTTTTGGTCCTGGCCAGGGCTCTATTAACTTGTATTCTACTGAGCAAAGTTATTTCCCTTTGCCATTCACCTTTGATAATTAATCAATTAACATAATGTATTTGAAAGCTTAATAGAATAAGAGAATTATGCAAGAAAATTTATTGTATAATAAAAAAAGTACTTTCATAGTTTTAATGACTTGGAAATAATAGATGAATAAAAATGAGACAAAAATAACTTATCTTTTTAAATGTTCTTCAACGGCCAAGAGAGGCCATTGTGAGAAGGAATAATATGGGGTTAAATAATAGACATTTTGTTAATAGTCTGCATGGGAATAGTGATAAATGGGGGGGGGGGGGGGGGGGGGGGGGGCAGATAGATACTAGACCAATTATTTTGTTGAAACTAATCATACTATTTTTCTTGCTGTTGGGCAACAAAGCTTCATTTATCAGTGTAATGAGTGCTCAAGCTTTAAATTCATGGCCCCTGGGTTCATGATTCAGGTCCTATGGCGGGGAACCTCTAAATTGTTGTATTGTACTCAGGTGACCGTTAAGGCCCTTGGGCCTCTTGTTTTAAATTCATATCAACATTGAAAAATGACAGAATGGCTGATACATTATAGATAAAAGTTGTCTCTTGAGAGAGAGCATTAATTTTGTTAACAGATCATATTCTTAACAGAATGTTGGCATTGTAGAAATAACACTCATATTGTCTACCATGATTTAGATACCAGTTATACATGACAAACATGAATTTTGATGCTTATGGTCTTATGTTATTTGATTTTTTTTTTTTTTTTTTTTCGTATTTAGAGTTTATTTAACAGAATTATGAATTCTTTTCAAAGGTTTACTTTTTAATTGATGGTTAAGTTTGTTTATAAAGGCTGAGAAATAATTAAAGGTGTTCCAACAACCACATAAAATTAATTTATTTGGTTACCGGTAATTTTTATTATTTGTTCTTAAAATTAATTATGTTTATTATGTTCAGATATTTTTTTTATTTAATAATGATCTTTTGTCATTCTGTGTCACTTTTCAATGAGAATATGCTATCTCTGTAAAACATATTGATATACTAGTAATTACCATATATATACATGTTTGCAAATTTTCTGTGTCATTGATTTGGTTAGTGCACAGTGCTATGAAAGAAAATTTCACAGATGACAGATGAATATTGAAAGTTTTAAAGAGCTTAAACGCAATTTCTTGCTTATTCCTGTATACATGTGCATGTTAGCTGTGATTTCTGGATGTGTCCTGTATAAAATATGTTACAGTATCACATAGCAGTCTTATTTAAATTTAAAATTATACTGAATAAGCTCCTTGTATTAAGTCCTTTCGAATTTGATTGGCCAGATGAACCTCAGCTAAGGTTTGATCGAAGGAGCAGCTTCTGATAGTTTAAATAGAACATTAACATTGCACATACAATGTATTTTGTATACGTGTAATTTATCTTACACATACAGAAATTAGATGTTATTAATTTATAAGATTTACTGAGTATTTTTTTTGAAGTTGTGTCCAGAATTATGGAAACTGTGATATGTTTGTGACTACTACTATTCAGCTGTGCGTTTTGTGTGTGTGTCCTCTCGTAGGAGAGAGAATAAAATTATAATACTTATATGTATCTACTCTTGCTGTATCATTTTACATTGACCAGTCCAAATTTCAGTATGCTGATTTACTGATATATCTTACCAATTTTTTTCTCTCACAGGTTAATTGCTTTGAATTTCATTTTTTCTTTCATTATACAAAATGCATTAAATATATGACATGATGAAATATCGTTGCTACTACACTGTTACCAGTCTGGTCAGTGGTCTCAATGTCAAATCTCTTATGTATTACAATTTCATTTAAGTGGAATATTTTTTTTCTAAAGGAAGGATTACTTGTGAAAACAATAGCAAAAAAGATTCAAATATTAAAAATAAAAGTACTTATTTAATAGTTATACTCTTCTTTAAAAAAATCTAAGCACATGAAATATGTGGGGGAAAAATTCAGTCAGTTATAAAATACTAATTTACTAATTATTTATATATATATATATATATATATATATATATATATATATATATATATATATATATATATATATATATATATATATATATATATATATATATATGTATATATATATATATTAAACTGTGAATGAAAAAAAAAATGAATTCGTCAAAATGAAATAAGAAAATTTCACTAAATGAAAGAAATGACTTTAGAAAAATCTACCCAAAGAAATGCACCCTCTATATTTTTTGTATAAACTTTCATGTAAATTACTTGAATTTTATTTGTCGAGAAACATTAATTTGTTAAAAAACACTGTTACCCTCTGAATGATGAAACCACGCCCTCAAGCGCGATAGAACTTAGCAACAGTCAATATTGCTTGACGACGGGAGATATTCCAAAGAAAATAGTGCCCGCAGAATCGATGCGCGCGCGTTTCACCTTTGTATTTGTATAAAAGATTCAGTGTAACAAAATTAATACTGCATGTTGTTGCACCTCGGTTTGCAATGGTTTTCTTGGGCTGAAAATTTTCAATGTTACCTTCAACTACATGTGCAGTATTTATATAATCTAATTCTTGCATATCGGATGGTGATAACGCATTTATAAATGACCACAGTTTAGCTAAAGGGAGTTTCACCTCGAAAAGAGGCTGAGTGGAGTAACTATGATAAAATCATGATTTATTAACCCTCATATCTCTTCTTTTTTTTTTCAAAATATTAGATACCCCCCCCCCCCACCCCCAACAACAACAACAACTGTAAGCAGATTCAGGTACTGTATATGTTTCCATCAGCCATTCACAATATGATAATGGTCCATTTTGGCCGCTCAGCCCCCCCCCCCCCAACATACACCGCCATCTCCCCTATTTTCATGGGGGAAAAAATCGATCATCAGTCACGCAAAACAGATTAAAAAATTCATCTCTGGGATACATATTTCCTATTAAAGAAAGAAGTGTGTATATAAAGATATACTTTTTGCGATCATACAGATCGTGTATATAGTGTACAGTGATGATTTTTTAAACACTATTTTCAGGTATTAAATAATAAATAAATTATAATTATACGTTAGTGAAGAGTCCGCCTTAAATTCGAGCAATAACAGTTTACGGGAAAGTTTCCCGAAAGAGGTTTTGGAAGTTTTGATGACATCATAATAACAATGCGTCATAAAACACTGACGTCACAAAGGTTGCGAACCATTCTTGTTTTATTTACAAAGAAGCTCACGGAGACATTTTCGAGGACATTCCTAGACTGAAAAAGATGGAAACTCAAAGACTTGCAAACAAGACATTTGAGCAGCGCTTAAGATCAAGCTTATTAGAATACGTGTCAAAAACTAACACACGGACAATGATGCCTGCGGTAAGCTCTAATTGTTAAAATGTTTTCTTAGTTAACTAAGTGATAACACTGCCTGTATTTTTCATCCACAGCGACTGAAGATATGAATAAAGTACGAAATAAAAATGAACTTGTAAGGAATAAAATTTATCAAAGAATGAGAAAGAAATTGGACCATAGATGGAGAAAGATCAACTTCTTTGCTTTTTTTCAGAGACAGAATATTCTTCAAATCCTGATCTTCTTGTACGGGAAAGAGACAAGTAATCATGCTGGATTTTCCATCTCCAACAACAAAGAAGTCTCTGGTAAGAAAAATCAATCTCACTTTCCTAGAGATTTTATACGTACATGTGCCAATTCATTAAAATATCGGATGAAGTTATAGTACATATATTGTATTTTTTCCCCATTCTTTTATGCATGTATTTATTATTTTTAATTTATCATTTATTTACAGATCAACAGAAGAAGTACATTTTATTTGCCTTTTTATTTATGGAGGATCTGAAAAAGAATTCCGTGACGGCAACAGATCTGTCTACACTTCAAAGAATGTGGGATGAACATATACTGTATCTGGCCAACAGCGGTACGTTATATATTTCTGTGCTTTGTAAATTTTATATAAAGGCTAATATGTTAATAATTTTGAGTCGATAGAGCTAGGGCTATGTAAAATCAAGGTTAATATTTTTTAAATTGTCGGTTTTCATGCGAATTGAGATTTCAAATCTTAAGATGCATGTGCAAAATCAAACCATTTTTAAATTTTTCGATCTTTATACATTATGTACCTTTATTTTATATATATAAATTCTAATAACTAGTTTTTTTTTAAGTAAACCTTTTGACATGTAAATCTCAAAAACTATTTAAGTCTAGCATTTACGGGCAATATCATATACGTTATACATAGAAAAAAAATCAATGTTTCTTTCATTTTTTAAATGTAAAATGATACTCCTAAGCCACTTATAAATCAATCGTATAATAATTTTGATTTTGATTTTTAGGCAAAGTAAAAGCTGCTGAAAATTATCAAAGAATCCTAGGAGACAGTGAGGAAACAATTTTTAATGTAAGTATACGTTAGTATTCAAAGTAAGGTAACAGTGTAAAATTTGTAAGAACAGTATAAAAATATTAAATTTATTATCCTCTATATCTCATTAAGTTTCAGTTTCAGTAGAACCAATATAGATTTTAATGTCATTACAGATCAAAAGATTTCAAAGTCACCTCAGTAAAACCATGAATTTCTTTGCCAAGAACAAGGACCCCCAGCCACAGAAGTTAGACTCCACTTTCCGCTTTAGAAAGTCAAACTTTGTTGAGAGGATGACTACAAAACTGAAGAAACTGCTAGATCAGCATGACCCAGATGACTTTTTTATGATTAAGTTCCAGGATGTGAACTAATTAGTGGAAACAGAGAACTGTCAGTAACAAAATGATAGAGGCTGGGACTGTGGGCTGCATGTCATTCATGACTTTTACTGAGCAACAATCATCGCCATCATCATCATGCAAATCATCATCGTCATCATCATCAAATCATCATCGTCATTATCATCACATCTACAATCAACTGTTCATCATAAATTTTTCACATGTATATATTTTCTTTATCATTGTTTGTAGTGCATCATTTTTAAAAGTATTTTAATTTTTTTTTCTTCATTCAGATATCATTTTTATTTAGAATAACACATATATTTCCATTCATCAAGCTCATCTTCATTTTGAACATTGATTCATGTAAATAAACTCATTCATCATCTTCAAATTTGTAGTTTTTGCTTCCCTGATAAACATTGCCCCATCTAGGGGAAGTCAATGACTTTCATCCAGTTAGCACCACAGAAACTGGGTATAAGCACTGACCCTCATGGCTTGGAAAAGGATTCCAACGTGGGTGATGAGGAGTTTGATTTTGTCCCCCCAAACTGTCTCTCAACATTTAGTGAAGTGTTTAATTCTAAGCTAGAAACAGGAAAATAAGATGTAGCAGCAAGTTAGATACTATAAAGGGACAATCATAAGGCATACATTATTTAACTCTTCTGTTCAGAAATAAATTCTAAAATTGTCCTTTATATTTCTCTCTTTAGGCATAAACCAGGACCCATTGCAGCAGGTGGACTGGGACAATGCAGATGAAGTGCCTTAAATTGTCTAAGGGCACAACACACAATATAAGTGACTACAACAGGGCTTGAACCAGCTTACTTTTGGTTCATTGGAGAATATAAAGTTACAGAATGAACTGCCACTGAAACAGAGCAAACCTGAGATGCAGTCTAGTTCTCTAATGCAGAATAAAAAAAAATACATATATACGCTCAGCTATTATAGAATCATTCTCTCTGCCACATGTAACTCTATATTTAAGTTCACTGAAAAGTTATGAACGGCACACCTTTCTCATCCTGCCTTAGTAAAAGGGACACAATTGACCATTTTAATGACTTTATTAGAAGAATCTAAATTTAGGAATTCTGCTTTCTTCCTGGTTTTTCATCCTGAGGTATTCATCATAGTAGCCTCCATCTGAGAGTTTATGAGAATCAAATGGTGTGACATCACTATAACATTTGTCAAACACACCGTCTATAACTTGTCTCCCCTTCTCTTCTGTAATATTCCGTGTTGTCAGGATAGATCTTAATGCATGCTTCCTCACACAATCCTGTCAAATGTACAAATTAATCCTGTATATAGATTTCTCAAAGATTGGTAATGGTGATGAAATTTAAACCTGCATCCCTTGACACAACAAATTACCAAACCATACAAATATTCATCAATGTCAAGTGCGCAAGATAGAACGTTTTCTTAACATGACTGACTGTGACTTTGTTATTTTTGAGAAGGTTATTATTTTTTATACAACTCTACCAATGTGAACCACACTATTCATAAAGGAACATGATTGGAAGAAATTTAAACCCACAATACATGTACATGGGGATGCTTGCATATTAAATCACTTAGTATGACTCTGCTGTCTCTTAAGTTGAACATTTTCATCTTCATTTCCTCAATATTCATAAATGAAACATAGGACCCCTGTACTGTTTCCCTACCCTACGCTTGGGAGCCATAATTTGAACAAACTTACTTTTGTGCATACACTTTTTTTCTATTTTGACAGTACCTTTCAATAATTCTAACTAACCATAACCTACTTTACATCTATGAATTATCATCCCTTGGGAAGAGTGTTGTGCATAGCAATTCATTTGACCAAACCTGAATCCCATTATCCAAGGATCATGCTTTGTTATTCAAAATGGACCCACTGGCTCTGGAGAAGTCAAACATGCAATAATTTTAATTACATGCACCAGTTTGAAAATGGATACAGAAGACAAACTTCAACTAAAAACCGGAGTTACTTCCCTTGCATTTCACTACTTATGCGACTCTATTTACCTTATATACAACATTAAGAAGAATGAAAACAGTATCAGTCCTGGTATACCACACTCGTACCTTGTGTTTGTTTCTGATGTCAAAACCCGTATTGTTCAGAAGGCTGCTTATGATTCCACAATCGGCAAAAGCTGCAGCACGAATCTGTAAAACAAAAACTATATCAAAGAAACGGATTTCTTATTTCATGGGCACTCTGATATTTTTTTAATGCATAAATAGGTATAATGCTTAATATTAATATTTTCTATTGAAAATTCAAGGTTATTTTCTATGACAGTGTTATTTATAATGGATTTAACATATTTTTTGCTTGCTATGCAATATGATCAATTTCAATGAATACGACAGTCCCACAGAACTTACCTCTGTACAGGCTAAGTGTTCAATATTGGTAAAGTCAACTTTAGCTCGACAATCATCAAAGGCATGTGTCATTTCATGGAACAATAGTTTACATGTGGCCGAGGGAGGAATGTTAGTGTGACAAAGTACAATCTATAAAGGACAAAAAACTAAAAGTTAATATTAAAAATCTAACATGTACTTATACAGTTGAACTTCGGTATCTCGAACACTGATATCTCAAATCCATGGATATGTCTAAGTGATTTGGAAGTCCAAACCACTTATTCTTTAAGTATTTTACCCCTGATATCTCAAATCCTCGTATATATTGAAGTTTTTTTCTTGGTCCCATCGAGATCAAGATAACGAGGTTTGACTGTATATAGGATCTCCCATGGTTTGTGGTTGGATATGCTTTTTTATCCAATGAGTTGTTTTTTTTTACAAAAACACATGAGTTGGATAAATATCATATTCAACCACAAACCATGGGAGATTTTTTTAATCACATGTTTTACACATAGCTAATTTATGTTTTACACTGTTTTATGTATATAAATCCACAATATATGATGATCAAATTCATGCATAAACCATTGTGATGTCACAACCATGGATAGGAAAATGATATCCTATGAGCTATATTCACTGTAGTACATATATGATATAAAGGAATAAAAATGTGATAAACAGAAAATTGAACTATTAACCCAAGATTCCAAATTGATAACCTTTAGTGTAGTGTTATCTACAAAGTATGCAGACTTAAGTGTATTGATTGTGTATTTGTAATTGTACATGTACAGTTCCGGAGATGCTCTGTTGCCCATTGTTATCACTGAACAAACAGTATGCCAGGGGGAAGCAAATGGTAGGACTGCAGTGATATCAAGCTTATCGTGATATATCATGATACATCGTGATATATCATGATACACTAGGACTGTTTTGCTATATATACCGGGTAATTTTTTTTTACATAATTTGTGTGTCTCTGTTCTGAAATGGGAAACTCAATCTGTATCATAGTGTAAAAGGATAAAACTAAAAAAAAGATTATTTCATCAAGTTCACAAATACATTATGTAACATTTAATAAGCTGAGAACACAATCAAACAGCATAAATTTATAAAGAAAATCACTTTTATGAGGTAAAACTAAACAGAAATAATAAACTGATAAAATTGTTATATATCTTGATACACAGGTTTCAGTACAATTTTTTTCTGTATTGTGGTGCACGGGTACATGTATATTGATATATCGTTACACCCCTAGCAAATGGTGAGCAAAAGGAAATTGGCTGAAGAAACAGTGGGCAAATGATGAAGCAAATTTTTAACACAATGTGAGCCAACACCAATCCACTATACTGTAAAAGCAGAAATATTTGTCAGGGGTTAAATTTCGTTTATTTCATTGTTAACAATTAACAATGAAATTAAATGCCCATGAACCCTTTAAAGGTGACAAATTAACCAAATTTTATCCCCACAAAAATCTGTGCTTCTACAGTAAGTAAATTATAAGTAAGGCAAAGTCTCATACTAAGGAACTGTTCTGGTAATGTGAACCCCTAAATGCATCATCTATCCCTAGATGCATAATTCATGCAAGTTCTTTTTAGCTGGGTCTTAAAGTGTCTTGGGAATAAATCTGTTCTAAAACATGAACTTGTTTAAACATTCAGTTCTGTGCTTAAAAATCTCTATAAACATCATTACATGTACATCCAATAACTGCTGCTGAAGTGAGTCAGGAGTGACTTATAACAGTTAAAAGAATACAGACTCAATTTCAATGTCTAAAATCTAACCATCATCAAAGTTTTTTGAGTCTAATCATGTTCCTGATAATGAACAAGTTTGAATGTCATATCCACCCAGATTTTCATTTTACTTGGTTTATGTTTGGGTTGTATGTACTAGAGACTTCTCTTATCTGACCTTTTATATGACCTTTTCATCACCTAGTTTTTGTTTTGGTCAGTCCTAGCTCTCCACCTCAGACTTCTTTCTTACTTGGTTTGTGTTTGGGTCATATCCTCCACTGACTTTTTTCTCACATTTCTCCACTGAAATATTTCTTCTCAAGCTAAAATCACTGACAAAAACAAGGGAAAAAAGCTATGTTAATGAACTTGATTTTTTTTTTTTTTGTTCTTATTTTTCCAATTGTTGTTGTGTAAACTCCTTTATTATGGTCAGTTAAGTTACCCTCAACAAAAAAATCTAAATTCTCAGAATCAAGTTATTACAGATAATAGTTTATTTGTTGTGATACTAATTATTACTTACCATCCATGATCCTTCAGAGCTTCCCTTAATATTCGTAATTCTGGGCCTACAACAAATACATGTGTAAGTGTATATGTTTGTATACGCATGTATATTGATTCAATCTCCAAAAATTAAAAGCTTTATTTTTCAGAATTTTACAGAGACATAAAGGATTCTTGTTAAACATTTTCTCTTTGATTTTGATTACATGTATATCAAAGATAAACATCGTCATAGTTATACTAACTTAGTTTGTTAAATTCTGAACACAACAAAATTCAGAAAATTTAGTTCAGAAAAGATATATCTGAATTTAACAAAATTTGGGAGTTTTTGTTTTCTAGTCTGTCCTGCACTTGTAAAATTGATTATAAGGGTTTAAAGAATAATAAGAATTCATTATTCATCAAACAGTTACACGTTTAATTAACAGTAATTCGAATATCTCTCTGCATGTCAGGACTTTTGTAGACACTGACACACATTCCTTAAAGAGTTAGAATCTATATTCAATCTTTACTAAATACTTTAATGTATATTCGTACTTGTTGATATATAAAGCTATCCTAAAAATATAAAAATTAGATTCTACTCAGTGGACTACTGTTGTGAAATTCTTCGAGGAAATTCGGGAACTTACAATGTGTAAAACATTTAACTATCTTCTTTTCTATAACAGTAACGGATCTTCTGTTAAGTGTGGAATATTCTTTATAGAGTTGTGGATTTTTTCGCTCTGGGTAAAGTGGGTAACCGTAATCTTCTTCAAATGATTCTCGGAGTCCTTCATTCTTCGTTGATTTTTCATCGGACTCGTCCTTCATGTTTTTCTCACAATAATTTTTTTTTGTCAATACGTTCCTGAAGATGTCGGATTTGCATACTTTCTATGCCGAGAACGTCTAGAGGAAATCGAATATATTTTTATAGCTAGAATGATTGAGTTGAATATTTTCGATGCTTCCAGCAACAATTCACGGAAGAACCTTTTTTGATTTTTTTTCTTATTTTTAAAGCACATTGTTACATGTACATGTAGAGTAGTGACCTCACCCCGCCCCTCTCTCACAAAATAATGTCAGTATGTACATACCACGCAAAAAATTGAAAAAAAAAAATGCAAATTTGCATTATATGTTATATTATTCTTTTTTTTGGGGGGGGGGGCTTATCAAGGAACTTCTGTGCTTGGAGAGAGGACCCCATCATCCCCGCTCAATAGTGTTTTGTGACTTTTTTACCTTTCATGAGGGGGGGGGGCTTATAAAGAAATTTCTGTTCGGCTCCACGGGTGCTTAGGGAGAGAAAGGACCCCATCCACGCTCCGTACCCCCAGGTATGTTAGACTTATCTTTCATAAATTATATCTTTTTTATTTTCCTGTATAATCCTGTATAAAATTTACACTGACTAAAACTCTTTTTTAAAAATAAAAAAATATTTTTTTTTTCCAATTGGAATACTTTGTAAATGTGTCATAAAAATTTATGAATATCAAAATAAAAAGTGTAGAATAGCCCGAGGAAAAGGGGGTAGGGGTGGGGTTCGTACTCGAGCCCCCGAGTTTGATTCAAACGTGGAGTCCCACCCCTCCCGTAGCTTTCTACGGACCTGTCGATAAAAAACGATCTCACAATTATTTACTAAGGCAGCTTTATATAAACCGTGCATTACTTTTAGATTAAAGTTAGTACTATTATTTATTTATTTTTTAAATTTTCAAGTATTTCATTCTATAGTTTTGTATATACGAAATTTTAGATATCATTAATTTGATGTCAGGATAATTGTTCTAAATTTTAGTTACGCTGTGATATTGCAACATCATTACATTATCATCTTCGTAAAAAGCGTTTGATGAGAGAAATCTACTTAAGATTATATAGCATTTTATTACAAGGTACTTAAGGCAAACTGAAGTGTGTGCGTATTATCATTGTTTAGATAAAGACTTCATTGTTATTTCTGTCGTGTTCATTAACCATAAAAATTCATACGATGATCACAAGTTTTTATTTTTAATTTTTTTTTTTTCCTCTTTTTGGGGGCTGGAGGGGATACTCTGTATACCTTATTTCATATATCTATATAATATCCATTGACCAAAATATGTATTAATTTTATTTTTTTTTCTTTAAACTTGAATCATCGAGCAGTGGTAGTAGTACATTGTAGTAGTGGCAGTGGTACTGGAGATTTTCTTACGATTGATTTCTTCTGATTTGATTTTATTTCGATTCTCAAATCTACAAGAATCACTTCGAATAATGTGATAATTAAATGCATTACCATAAAAAGACGCCCACAGTGCATCGCGGGGTTGCACATTTATGATTGTTATCCGCCAGAGTAGTTTGCAATGTTAATTGTTTTACATGTAAAGACAACAAAATAAAGCAAGGGAAACGCTTAAAACCTAGTGATACGGTAAAACACGGTCGCTGTTACTTGTCATAGAGTCATGCATCAAAATTGTCATTTTCTAGCCCCCGGGCGATTATTGCGGTCTCAGTATGCAAAAGATAAGTAAAAGCTAGCACTGTTGTTTTTGAGGATCTGTGACAGGAGAACAGTGTGTGAATTCTTTCGGGAAGTTATCTGTGAATCCTTTTCGATATTTTCCTCAGGATTTTTTTTAATTTATTGGATTAACAGGTTGTACATGTGATTGTTTTAATCTCTTAACGGTGACGACCAATATATAGAAGAACTCTAAAGAACTACCGCAATATTTGGTTTGTAAGTATAAATATAATAGTCAGAATATCAACTACGTGTAGTTACAATCTATCTGTAGATAAATTTCTTAATTAAAGGATCTATAAGTTGACATGTCAATATCTATATAAAATTCCTTAAAGACAATGTCGATAATTCATCTCTAAATTTTGTAATCAACCTTCTTTAAAGGAGAAAAAAAAAAAACAAGAAATTAAAAAAAAAAAAAGAAGCTTGTTGTCATTCAGTAGTAATATAAATGTTTAAATAACCAATACCCGAAAGGAACTCCTTGTCGAACGCCAAATTACGAATACATTATGTACATGTATATAAAGAAAAATATATTGTTACCAGGGAAAAATTCAGTATTACACGCATAATAATATTTTGATGATAAAAACATGTATGTTATTCGGTATACGTAAATGAATTCGATATTTCATATACTATTGGAATGAGTGAATTCAAATGAGATTGAAGAAATGTGTTTAATGATATTCGATAATTAAGAGAGCTCTCACGACTTCCTCGTGTGACGTGACACAATAATGTAATCATTAGGCTGTTTCTACAGCGCCAGGGGTAACGCGAGGTATCATAAATACACATTTTTCTCATTTCAAGATGGCCGACAATAATGTAATTATTACTAGGTAATAATATTAATATTGTCTGTAAAATTGCAAAGGTGTTATTTTGTCTAGGTACTATTGTATGTCCCCTTAAATCGTTTAAAACGAAGGTGCGGATCCAAAAGGGAGCAAATATTGCATTTCTTGTGTTGAACGTACTTCATAGAATACATGTACATTATCATGATATCTAAACGATATACATTGGTCAGTTTATGCACGATATGAATTCATTTACTCATCCATAGAAATAGAATCTACTTTTAATAGATTTTAGTAATATCGCTGTCACATTAGTTCACGTATTTAGTTTACAAATGTACTATTTAGAAGTTATCCTAAAGTTTTTGATATAATTAAAGTTTGAAATGTCAAAGTTAGATATCTAGATAATTAATTTAACTATCATCATTTATAGAGGTAATTGCGACTATTTATACATTAAAATCCGCAAAATTTAAAATACTACATAATGACTAAAATACGAGATAATGAAATGAATTAATTAGCATTTTTAAAAAGACTTTCACCATTTAATTTGAAAAAAAAAAAATTAACAGGAAGTGACAATCTCCGTTTTGAAGGGGTGATCAAGTTGTGTAAGAAATAGAGGAAGAAGAGAAATGAGGCTTTTCAATTGATGAATTCTCATTCATTTATAAATCTCAGTCATAACAGAGATAATTAATTACAGATGATATAAACAAACTTAAAAAAAAATCTTGAAAATAACATCTTAAGGCATTGTATAAGTAAAATGAATTGAGTTTAACCGCATAAGAAGCAATTTCATTTTTTTTTGGGGGGGGGGGGGGGCACAGTCATACATTTTCAGTTGAGGAGGAACTATCAACCAAAAATTCCTTGACAAGCAAAAAAAAAAGGGGGTCATCAGACGTTTTTATTGAGGGGGCACAAGCATATAGTAGCTCTGTTTTCTATAGTAATTTATATATCGGCAAAATTATTGGGGGGGGGGGGGCACGGCCCCCGTGCACCCCCCCCCCGGTTCCTACGGCCATGTCACTTTTTCATTCAAAGTTTCACAAAAAGGATTTAAGGTGACAAAAAGTTGTAAAGATTAATAAAGGATGGTTGCAGAAAGATAGAATTTTGAACATCTAAGAAAGTTTACGATTTTTTAATATTTTTGAAATTTATTATTTGCATCATTTCCAAAAATATATATACTAATCCAGACATCCATATTTTGTTTGTATCATCTGTCTTCAATCAAATTTTTAACAATGCGAAGTGAAACGAGGTACATATTCTGGTGACTGCACAGCACATAGACCGATTCTATAAACAGAACATCCTCCCTCTCTCTCTCTCTCAGAACACAACCTTTGAAGAATCAATAATTAACTACTCTCTCAAGGAAACAGTTAAACGCTAAGAAGACTTCGTCCCTGTAACGTTTGACGTTTCTTTAATTTAAAGATGTCAATTCATTAACAACTAATTAGAGCAAATTGAATTTATTTAATCATTTACTGAATTTTTTGCTTTAAATTCACATTTTCTTGATTTTTTTAAAGACTTAATTGAAAATAAGTTAATTGTATCTAAAGATAGATAATAAAGGAGACGAATGATGACGGATTGATCCTGAATGCAATTTATTTGTATAAACCAGGGAACAGGTAGGAAAATGTAATAATTTTCTGTTTAATGATCTCATTGATCGCAAAAATATAGCAATACCGAGGAACAATAAATGGGGGTAAACTAATTCACATTACAAACAGAATAACCATAAACTTATATATATAGGCTATAAATTTAATTAGAAAGGATGACTGCACTTAACGCCTGTTTTTGGGTCTTTTTCGGTTGCTTGTGCTGCTTTTATGTCTAAACCTTATCTCACTTTTGTATGTTTATGAAAGAATACTGTCAATTTGGAAGCACATTTTAATCTTAAAATGATTTTAGACTGTGATACAATAAAATGATTCAATGTTTTTTGTCCTTACTGCTTTCCAAATATAGTGAATTTACACTTACCTGCCCTTGATTGAACATTAGATATGCATGAGAGGTGGAGCTAACATTGTAAGAATGGCTCTAAAATTAGACTACATAAACAGCTGATAAATAACAATGACATGTTTGAAAAAGCGAATGTGATCACTCTTTCCAATCTCCTCTCCATTCTGTATGGCATAAATACACTTCTGACAAAGGTTTCAAAACGAAATTAACAATATGAGCACGTCAATGTAATTAAAGCAGATTTTATATCAATGCCAGATGACTTAATGTGTTCGAACACAATGTCCTAGTTAGCACAAAACATGCTTCCTTACAAGTCACGTGTCGGAATTTAGTATTTACAAAGTTACCTGAAGTAAGAAATCACGTGGTGAATTATAATATTCAACATGTCACAATCCTTGGTTACAACACAGAGAGCGAATGTAAGAAGAAGCATTTTTTTCTCTTTTTAACCATGAGCGCATGTTTGT